GGCCATTCATGGCTGCACATCCATCTCCTCTCTCCCCCCCCCCCCCCCCACCCAGCCTCTCCATCCATACTTCTCTCATCTCATTTCGCATTAAAATCGGGGAAATACAAATATGGAGCTAATAGTTCATCCTATTCCAATTATTCCTTTTAAGCAAAAAATTGTTTCTTCCATACTTGGTCGTCACCACTTTTCATAAAGATAATTGGGAGAGAGTTGAACTAAACGTGTACGTACTCTCTCTCATATCTCCCCCCCCCCTTTCCACACAGCCTGCCTGTCATCGTCAAACCGTTTCTCAGTTTATATTTTGAAACCTCGATGCGTGCGTGCGTGTGTGTGTGTGTTGTGGATGTTCGAGACAAAAACTCGAAAACCTTTCTTCTTTTCAGTTCTTCCGTTGAAATATTTATATTTTGGTTGGAACTATATCTTCTGGCCGTCTAACACAGTCTGTGTGTGTGTTGTGGCTCTGCATTTCAAACTTCCATATTAAGTTTTCTTAATGTCTTCCTTTTATAAAAGTCCATTAACATTGACCTCCAAAATGAGGTGATTTCTCATCACCCTGTACTCCATCCTAATTGCCAAAACAAATTTTTCGCTTTTTGACGAAATTCTCTTGCATTATTTCCCTCATTCTTCTCTCCCGTTCCTCTTCTCTCCTTCAGCCACTACAACCAGCAAACTGCGATTTCTTCCTTTTCCGTCAATGTCTTGTCTCTTCTCATCCGAGTTCTTCTTGTGACGACGACGACAACGACGACGACACAGAAGCTACTTATCATTCAAACACTGTGATTAACATTTTTATCTTTTGTTCTTTCCAGATATCTATTTAAATACTGCCTGTACAATACGAGAGAAGATATATCCTATTGAAAGCAGATGTCAGCCGTCATGCATCCGGACTACACCCCTCAGGTTTATTTCCGAGCCGTCGGAAATTTGAAAGTAAGTTTTCTTTCTTTTATGCTTATTTGTCTGTTGTCAATTTTTTGATAAGTTTCATTCTTATATTGAAAGGACTATAGTGCTTCTTTGAAATCTCTTGGCGGGTTTTCCATTTAGCTACTGAAGCATACGATCATCTGATTTCAAGATGCTGAGAGTAATGTTATTTCTATCTTTAAAAGATTCATTGATTACAAAGCTGTCCAATGATCTTTCTCATATATATATCTTTGAACACGTTCTTTGGCTAAGATTATTATTATTGTTAATTGGAAGTTGATGAACTTTGATGACGTTCAATCTCTTCTCTCCCCCCCCTCTCCACACAATTGCTATCATGCTTATGTTGTGAAGTAAAGTAGATACATAGAAGCATTGAGCTTGATGTCTAAACCACCATATCATTAGATGTTGGTAGATATACCAATGGTATGGTTAGGTTTACCATAATCTTTGATAGATTGAAGAGAGATCTGCCAGTCTCTTTCTCTTTCTCTCTCTAGTCTGATATACTGCAAGTCTTTTGGTGCCTTTCTCTAATATCTATATTAGTTCCTGTTTGACTTCATTACTTAAAATACAAAAAATAGAAGCTCTAAACTCTATTGAACTTGATTACATCAGCGCAAGACCAATATTTGCGGATTATGAGTGAGAAACATCTTCCATATATATAATAGATTAATCACCATATATGCAGATGAACATTGGCTTCAAACCTGTTGTCACTTTTCGCATTACTCGAATTAGCATACTGCCTTTACGTGACAATCCACGTGGATGAATCAAAATGCGTCTGTATGTGTGTGTGTGCTTATTTCATTTCTCAATGTGCAGACATGCAGAGCGGTTGACATAAAGTGATCTTCCTCATTTAAACAACTCGTCGTCAGAAGACAGTTCATACGTCAGTGAGATAGGCATAGCTAGAAGATATGATTGTAAAACTAATATGCGTCAAATATGATTTCTCCCCTCTCCCTCCTTCTATCTATCCCTCTTTCTCTTTCTGTTCAGCATGTAGACTTTCCTATGCGATTTCTTCTCTCATAGCTTAAGCAAAAGGTAATGTACATTTAAGAATAGGCCGCATTGTTTTTTTAATTGTTTGACAACTTGGTAGCTGACCGGTTGAATCGTTTTCTTCCTTTCCTCGTTGTCATTCTAAACCAAATGTTCCTTTGCGTCGTCGTCTGACCAATTACGACACGCTTTCATCTGATCTTTGGCGAGACATGTACTAATCGGCTCTTTATTGAGAACAATATTAACTTATTAATGCTTAAAATGTAAATGAGATAGAAAACGTAATAGGCGACTGTATGTATGTGTGTCTCTCTCTCTCTGTCTCTCTCTCTCTCTAAATGAGTTGCATTAAGTTGATAACGTGATTGATTATGAGTTTATTGGATTTCGTGCAAACTGAGAGCAAAATCATTTTTCTTTGTTTTCACCTGTGCTCTCATTCTCTCGCAACATTCATTTCTTCAAATATTTGAATAAACAAATGTCTTGAGGTTCTTTCACAAAAACGTTTACGTTTTTATATTTTTGAAAATGTTGCATCTGAAGAAAAAAAAAATGGTTGAAGGACATACACACAAGTTGAATGAGAGTTCTTTCTCATATCACTCTAACATGGAAGTTCATTCACAATGTCTTTCTTTTGAACCGGATATAACTGATTCCCACGTGTTCACGTTCTTTAATCCTTCACCCTTCTTATATAGCTAGAGAGAGAGAGAGATAAGAGAGAGTGCGAGAACAGACTAATGTTACCTGGTGTTTCCCTTTTAATATTTTTGAGCTTTCTTACTCTTACCATTCACTTTCGCTCTATTCTCCTCACATTATGGTTTTCTCTTCTTATTGTCTCACATCATTAGCTTCTCAACAAAGCTGTCAATAGTCAAATAGACAGTAAGATAACTTTCACATTGAATGCTTTCATGTCCACCTTCTCCCTTAAATAATTTTCTTTCGTTCTCTTATCTTCTGCGGCTATCAAATGAACCATTACTGTAACCTGTCCACCTTTATGGGATAGTGCAAGAGAAGAAGAGATATAGAAGCCCTTCCGCCTCCACACACGCGCTCCTTGACACCTCGTCGACCGGACGTTTTGTTTGCTCTTTTTTCCTTCTCTTCACCATCTTCCGTCGTCGGCGTTGTCGTCGTCGTTGCTACTGCTACTGCTGTTGCTACTGATGATGATGATGGTGGTGATGGCGATGATGATGCTGGTGTGATTGAGGTCGTTGTAGTTGCAATGGTCGTCAGCTCGTATTCGTTTTCTGCGCAGCTTCCGATCTATCTATCGACTGAATGGAACGCTAGAGGAAGAGAAAATAGGGAGGAGGGGGGAGAAGAACGAAATGAACGACGGACGGACGGACAGACCGAGAGTTCTGCACTATAGACGATAGAGAATGACGGTGGAAACTATTGAGAGGAGAGGAAAGGATTGAAGGAGTAGAAAAAGAAACAGAGAACAGCAAACTTCAACGGTCTGGTCGTCGTCACCTCTCCCCTCTAACCCCACCTCACAATTCACCTATCCCTTCTCAATCCTAACTTCAGACAGCCATACTGTTTTGCTGATCGGCTACTGTTGCACTTCTTTGAGTGATTTTACTGTTTTCACATACCTTGGAAGAACATTTGTTTCATCACCACCACCAGTACCATCTATTGAAAGCTTACAACTTCTTAACCAGGCTTCTTCTCAGGCGATATTGGGAGATGAACATTGCAAGCATAGGCCATCTTTCCGCATCGTCTACTCAACAAAATATTATTTTAAAAGCTTTTTATCGTTAGCCCAAATGTGTCTTTCCTAACCGTTCTGCTAATTCTTCGTGTTTTCTTCAAAACATTGTCCGGTTTGAGTTAAACGACATTATTGCCATTGGGTAATTCCTCTTTGTTAGTGATGATCACCATCATCACCAGTTTCATTTGTACATCCTTACATCATCTTCATTTTTTCAATATTCAGAAGAGAACCACATTGATCGACTTCTTCTTCTTCTTTTTCTTCTTCTTCTTCCTCCTCTTCCTCTTCTTCAAACATTTTTCTGCAACTACAGGTTGTTCTCTCTCTCTCTTTCTCTCTCTCTCTCTCCCTCTATCCTCACCCTCCTTTCCTTTCTCTTATTCTCTTTAAAGTATGAAATGTATTTCCTTTTTCCCTATATGCATGTTTGTTTGTCACGATTCTTCTATATAATCGCAGTTCCAATGTCTACTTAACTCTCGGAATCTCCCCAAATTATCTTTAAAACCTTTTCTTCTTCCCTCGATTATTGTTTTTTTCTCTCCTAATTAGCTTAAGCTAGCGACATTTCAGCTATGCCCTAGAGCCTATCATCAGAAATCTATTTTACTCATTCAACTTTAATGTCCAAGGTAAGATATGATCTGCTTTCGATACTCTTCATCCTCACCCTCAATCTTATAATTCTCTTTTTGACTTTCCGCAATCTTGCAATCGAATTTCATGACGAAAAGGACAATCGCTCGTCCATAGCTTGAGTTGTAGCCTCAACTAAGCTGATAATTAAGGGGATTTGGCGGCTCCCATGTAGAAAAATTTATTTCATTCAATGGTAACTACTGACTCGTAGTGTCAGTTTCGTATTATTCCAACTGAAATCCTTGAAGCTGTGAGCATTCATGAGTTTCTCTTCTCCTCAATACTGTGCATCCTATTGTGTGTTTCGAAAGTGAAGTCCTGTAACGGATTGCTTTGTGCCCCGGAGGAAAGATTTCTTTGTTTATTCTGTAAGCTCTGAACAATGAATTGCCTGTTCGGTTATGCCTGTAAGGAAATGAAAGCGAATGACGAGATGAGAGGAAGAATGTGAAAAGTGATGATGAAGAAGCAAATGGACGATTGATCTTAAGTATCGGAAGTCACTTGTCTGTCCGAAATCTGAAGATTGTTCTCCAAAATCGATGTTGTTAATCAAGCTTATTTTGGTTTTGGATGCAATGAAGGTTTTCCTCATTTTACGTCTTTGCTCCTGTCTCTCACTCTCTCTCTCAATATATCTCCCCATCTCTCCCTCCGTCTGTATTCAATGAATATATCCTTGTCTGTTCTCGATTATGGTCATGATCTGCATGAGATGATGAGAGAAGAAGAAGCATGAGAGAATATGAGCCAAGTTTGTACTCCTCTTTCTACTCTTGAATGATGAACAACTCATTTACATGAAACAGAAGATGATTAAGCTATTATTCCAAATCACAATCTCATATTCTCACATATGTTATGATCGGCTCAGTAATTGAAGAGTATTTTGGAACATTTTTTCATTTTTTCTCTTTGCTTTTCTCTCATAAGTCATTTCCTCCAAGTGACTTGAACAACAGCAAGGTTGCATGTTGCCTCAATCACTTTCCCATTGTGAGCAAACGTCCAAAGGAAGCGTTCGTTGTATCATTGTTTCCTTTTTTTTCCTGAGCGAATCGACGATTGATTTTCTAATCGACGCATGACAAGAGCAAATGATTTTAACAAGCTATAAATAACATTACTCATGTTCACACTTATAGAAATATTGATTTTACATGATGCTACGGCAAAAGGCACAAAGTAAAAATATAAAATATGAAATATTGGAATGAGAGAGGAAGACACAGAGAGACAGAGAGAGTAAGCTTGTCAGAGAGAGAGAGAGATGGTCTATTACTATATCCGAACCAGCTTGTGCTGTACAGCTCAAACATCACATGGACTTCTATGCAGGAATTCCTCTTCAAATTCGAAAAGTTCGTCTTATTGCCATCTCTCTTTCTCAACATGCACACAGCCGGCAACAGATAGCAAAAGCCTTAATTTTCCTTATTTGGCAATAAAACTTGGAAGGCCATGAGTTTGTGAATGCCATTGCCATATAAAGCAACCGGCAAGCTTTGTCATCATCATCATTATCATTACATTGAAACCAACGATCTATTCATGAAAAAGTAAAAAAAAGCCTTTTTCTTGCTTTTTCTTTTTTTTTTGTTTCAACCAACCATCATGCCGCTGCTGCGGTGGAGGGACTCTCGGGAAATAGTTTCTCACAAAAGCTGTAGAGCGAGTGTTAGAAGCCCCACTATTGACTTCAAATGTATATTGCTATGTCATCAGATTTAGATGTAATGCGACTAATTTCATAAGAAACCCACTCTCTCTCTCCCTCCCTCCTGTGTGTCTCTCTGTCTTCATTCATTCACTTGGAGCTCTTTGCTTTCCTTTTTGAATTTCCAATTTCTTTATTTGAAATTTACTTTTTTGGACAACAAGGAAACATACATTGGCTGAGAAAATAATTCAAATCAGAATGTGTGTAGGAGATGTGAACTCATGTATGCGGGTGGTATGTGTGTGTACGCCACACACACACACACACACACACACACATACACACATACACATCTGATATGTTGTCTTCTTACATCTTTCAATTCCAAAACGTTCAAACGCTTCTCCCTATCTTCAGTTATCCCTGTTCTTTTTGCTTTTCAATCTGAAAATTATCGATAAGTTTTGCGTTTGTTCATCGCTTTTTTTTGTAAAATATTGTTAGCATCGACAACAATATGTACGTTTCAAACGGATGTTATGATTACAAACTTGAGACGAAAGACATAGGCTTTTCAATCATCATGACTTCTCGACCTCTTTGTGATCTCCCATAACTCAGTCTATACCAATGTTCTATCCATATAAAGAGTTTTATATGTTTGCCAAAACATATCTGAATACCAACACCCTCTTTACCCTTCCACCCCCACCTCTCTCTCTCTCTCTCTCTCTTTGTATCTCTCTCTCTCTCTCTATCTCTCTCTCAATCAAATAACATGAAATTCCAGTATCAGTTTATAGAAACGATTACAAGAAATTGAGACTTCATTCTATGTATGATTGTTCTTTCTAATTATTCCATATTTAGCGAAGTGCCGAAGACATATTGACGCCGTTGAATGCTCAACTTTTGAATTCCGTTATGACTGTAGATTCAGAGGCTAAAAAGGTAATTGTTTGATTTATTTACGTCCTGTTCTCACTTAACTTCAAATCAATACCTTCAACGTTCAATATATCACAAGTGATTTTTGACCAGAAAAATTGATTCAGAATCTTGAAAATGTATTAACCGAACCATCTTCTTCAGGCCAAGTTAGATCCATCAATTCTCTTGAACCAGTACTATACGCAGATGAACGCGACAGCTCATTTGCTAACTGGACCACCTTTAGCTCAAATAACTCAGGTACGATATCATTACATTCAATACTTGACTGCTCATATTCAATGGAATCATACTTTCGCTTCTCTGATACACAACATGAATGAACAACTATCGTAACCAGCCAAAAAGCTTTTTGTTTTTGTTAATAATCGTAAAGGGTGTTGTTATTAACGTTAGTAAGGTTCCACGTAAGTTTCACGTGAATATTCCGTCACGTGAACTCACGTACGTTACAATTTATTTTTGAATGAGTTTCAACGGAAAGCGGTTGTTTTGTCTTATTCATCCTCTTTTCATTATTATTTTTTTTTCATTCTCAGAATGTTCCGTGTGGTCAAACAACAAATGGCTCAACAATACAATCCTCTAGTAATACAACGAACACCGCTGTTTCACGGGTTGTCCATATTAGGTATGTTGTAACAAGTTATCATTTGAATTCAACTTTCACTTTCAGAAACATCCCTCCTGATATGGCTGATGTTCAACTTCTTCAATTGTGTGCTCCATATGGATCCATTGGCAATTATATGATGCTCAAAGGCAAAAGCCAGGTAACATCATATAAATGTTTTTGAGAATAAAAACCAGTTTTCAGGCGTTCGTAGAATTTGAAGACGAAAGTGCAGCACAGGGATTCGTGGCAGCCATGACTGCTATCCCAGTACAAGTAAGTAATTGGTTGATCAACTACGATATCGAAATACTTTCAAAGGTGCGAGGAAGAACAATATTTTGCCAGTTTAGTACACATCAAGAGCTCAAGATGGATAAAGAAAAGAAACGAGAACTGCTGGGAGATGAAGTTAGTTTATTTTATATAAAAGAAAGTTATTGGTTTGGGTTTGGTTAGAACAATTATATATTTGGTAAGGGGGAGATATTTGCAAAGTTATGAAAGGTAATTACTGGGGCTGGTGCTCTTTAAACTGTTTTCTGTCTTTGTGTCTCAAGCTATATGAAGGTGGTTTGTGGGTGGCTATGAGAATACTATGAGAATACTATGTTACTCCTCGCATATTCTATACTTCACAGTCTTTTCATAACTTGACTGGCTGTGTGTGACTTTGAATAAGTTGCTCTTAAGATTATGAAGTGATTGTGCATTATATCTTTGTGTCAGTTACTAAATCAATGTGTGATCCCATAAGTAGTTGTCCGAAAGAAGCTCTGACCATTGTTTACTTGTAACATTCATTTCTGACCTCACAGCCACCACGGCTGTGAAGCTGTTTTTGGCTCATTTCTTGTTGTTGGCTAGAACAACTCTCTAAAATTCTCTTTATTTCTCTAATCTTTGCCTATTAGGCATCTCTCATCTTTTCGTGATTCTTGTACCTATTTAAATATTTTTTTTCGCGGGCTCCGACAGGCCTGCCTCTTGTTGCGCTTGCCTTTCTAAGCGAACACACACATTTTAATAATTAATTTAGCACTCAGCCCTCAAAAAGTCTGAGCTATAGCTTGAATGGATTGGGTAATAGCCACTCTTCTTCATTCTTTGACAAAAATTTTTGATGAACTGTGTGTTACATGAACGACGACAAGACGCAAAACATCTGCTGTCGTTTGTGGAACAAAAAAAAAACGGAAATAGTCTTTGTTGTATTCCTCGGCTATATTGAAGTTTATGTTCTCTCCTATGACATTAGCAATATCTATTTCCAGCCCCTCCTGTGTAAAACTGTAATCTCTCATTTAGTTGCTCATTGTTTGTTCTGCAATTCATTGACGAATTTGGTTATCTTTTTACATTCAAGTATATCTCCTTTGGCTATAGATCTATCTCATTTGAACTTTTCTCTTCACTAGAAGCTGATTATCATAATTGCCTTCTCTATCTCAAGCCCTACCTCTGTCTCTCTCTACCTCTCTCTACCTTTCTACCTCTACTGATGTCCACCCTTCCCTCTCTATCTCTCTCTCTCTCTCTCTCTCTCTCTTTATATAATATGTATGTTCCGCATTCCTTTAGTCTCTTTAACTCAACACTCTATCATCATAGTTTCGATGATTATAACGTTTGTTGTGTTTTTTCAAATGTCACGACTGGGGATATGAGTGTCATTAAAGAAAATGTGTCATCGAGCGTATCAATCAATCGGGATTTCATGAATCAATGATGAAACACCTTTGAAGGAACAGTTTCTTTTTTTGGTCTGAATGATATATCCATTAAACTGAGAAGAGATTGAGAATGGCGATAGTGTAGTTCACGAATAGATCTTTCATTTATCGTGATCGTTGATAACTAGCTTTGAAAAAAACGAGCAGCTAGTCCATTTTAAGCATTATATGCGATTTGTATCTGACGATTGATCGTCGCTTGACTGTGTGTGTGTGTGTGTGCATGCATGTACTTCATTAACAACTTTGAACGTTTATATCGTCGTTGTCGTATTCAGAAACTCTGAAATGTACTGAATCGTTCATGTGTGTGCCATTGTTTGTATATACACTTCATTGGAGCATATCTTTTATCTGATGAAGTTTAATGAGCGGAGAAGAAAGAAATTTCTAACTTCCAATTACTTTTTCCTCTTTCCCATTATGCCTCTCATCATCTGGTATTCTTTTCAATCTTCAGAAGAGTTCTTTTTGCAATCTATAAAGATGCACAAGAAATTCCGTCTGAACGTCGTGTGAATGTGAAATATCTGTTTCTCCACTTTGAGATTTACATTTCGATTGAGTCTCTATCAGAATTCTGATTCAAATGAATCCTCTATGAAGCTATGAAAACTGAAATGAAGAGTGTTAACCACTGAATAACTTTTGTGTGAGACAACTCTCAGAGTCGAAATAATAATGTGCAATTAGGAGGACGATGATCAGCTATTTGTGTGTTGAAAACTAAAATAATTCCTCTTTTATGGTTGATGATCCTTATTCGGAGTTGAATTCTGGAAAAATGAATGAAAGTAGCCGTTGGTAAACAAATATTGGATCTACTTGATTAAGATTTTATGTTCCCTCATATAAGAAGCATTTTGGAAATTTTGCATGACCATATATGCCTTGTGGGCAAGCTTGCTTGAAACACAAATACATTTCACCTCATGGCTTGCGAAGATGTATATGGATTTTGATTGGATATAAATAGGAGATTCTTTGACGTTATTAAGTTTCTTTTATCTGTTTTCATTTCAATATTAGCCTTAGGCCACATCTGCTTATAATGAAGTTATGTAGAGCTTGAGCAGCAGCAGCCTTTACCCCCCTTTCTCATCTGAAAAGGCAATAGGAAGAGAAAACCATTCCAATTCATTCAATCAGCTCTTATGTGCTTTCCATAGCTTCAATCTCTTCTTATTCGCAAAATGAAACAAATGAGAGTGAAAGAGAATCAAAGAAATATTGCGAGACTGACCCAACAGACGGCAAATAGGATGAGTATGTTATTGGCGTAACCTCTCTCAACAAGCTTCTCCTTCCATATATATTGCTTGATCCTGTTTGATTTGCATACAAATCTGTTTTCATATTAAGAAAAGCTAAGACTATTAGATCTGCTCATTGATCGTTCATTCAAATATGGTATTTTAACAGTTCTCCAGCATACCGTTCCCTCTCAAGACATTTCGACTGTGTCCTGTAAGGATTTACTTCCTTGACATAGCAGACTGACGTCGACTTGGTTTTGCAAGCAATTATCTCTCAGACATTGAAGGCTGTTCGAGTGAGACTGTCCACTGTCTCTCATACAACTTCAAATCTGACTATGACTACAATTAATCTCTTTTTTTCCTCTAAAATATTATTCATGTGCTATTATGAGTTTCAAAGATAGAGAGATGTGCGAAGATGCAGATTTGCTTTGAAAAGTAAAAAAATCTTTTGAATGGCCGTGACAAAACTGTGTTTGACGTTCATATATCCAAGGCTGTTCAAATTATCTTTGCTGACCCTGTCTATTCTGATTGAGGACTGCAGTTGGCTACTTCTTTGATTATGCAATTTCGTTTGGTGTACGTATAGCTTGAGGAAGTGTGCTAGTGACAAGTGAAGTTTCGAGGACATGAGCTGAGCTTTGTTGCTTTTCATAGTTATAGATGGATGATTGTCGCATAGCAGAGTGATCTTTTGTATGTGTTGAAAAGGTTTAGCTCTTCATACTTGTCAAATAGCAACAAACGCTTTCGGAGACGATGATCCGATAGAAGCTTCAGCTTCGTTTAAATTCTGTTCTGTCATCTAGTCATTCGGATAATTCGTTGTGTCTACTTTGACAGAAAAGCAATAAGGGCAAAACATTGTTGTTGAAGCTTAATCAAAGCTGTCATGTATACGAATATATACATATTGGAATAATTATATTAATTAAAGTTGATCACAAACTACTTACCATTCCCAAGTAATATGACCCATTTTGTTCTTCAATCACATTTGACCTTTCTTTCAGCTTTGCTTCCTTCATTCCCTGCTTTTCTCCTATCCGACCATTGCTTTTATTAATTTTCACACACACACACCCATACGCACAATGATTGCGCAGATGAGCATTTTAATAGAAAATAGAAGGAGACATATTACATCCTGTAGGCGTCATGTCTATGCTTCATCTTGTTCTTCATCTTCTTCCTCATCTTGGATTGTGCTGCTCCTTACCATCATCTGGTCAGTAACACTCATTCAAAATGACTTTTCCAATCTCTCTCTTTCACTCACATTCTCTCTCCCTGTCTCTCCTTCTTGTACCAGCTATACTAGAAGACACAACCATCAGATCAGTCGAGTAAACTATAAAAGATCTCTCGTATTTTATTTTAACTCGATTATAACATTTATATATTTCCAACTAATAATCACATAGATGATGTCCTTTTGTTCTTCGTTCACTTTTTCATTCAAATCTACTTATCTTTCCAACAATTCGTTTAATTATATCGCTTTGCCTTCTCTTTTCCGCATACGGTATTATTCATTTAGCTTAAGCTCATAGCTCTTCCATAAGAATTTCAACTTGGTTAATTAATCTAAGTGCGTAGTCCCTGCATTTTCCTAAATATTTGAAACACTTAACACAACACCCCTCCAAAAACAAACTTAATGAGTTTATAGTTTCAACTTGAGCTTTAATTAAAGACTCTTAACGATGCACACACACACACATCATTCCTTCAATCTCATATGATCAACCGTTCATTCCACACTTATTGATTACAAATGAAATGAGCTGGTGCAGCAACTTTTCTCAAAAATGATGCGACGTATATGCTCTTTTCACGTGTAGACAGCCAAGTCTGATATCAGCTGATGAGGAGCTATGTGTTCTGTTTTCAGTTCGCCATTTAATGAGGTAGATTCTTGAGATATTTGAATATGAGAGCTGAAAAAGGGAGGAAAATAATGTATTTTTCGACGATTTCCCTCACTGTTTTCATTCGATGAGCTCTATCTCTCTGTCTCTCAGTCTCTCTCTCCCTCCTTACTTCCCTCTCTCTGTCTCTGTTTCCAACAAACTTTAATAAAGTTCATTGCATTGCGATCAATTTTCTGAAAGAAGAAGAAGAAGAGACGAGGTTTGAAGTCGAGAATGATATAATAAAGGGCCAAATGCATCATTGATGTGGCTTTTGTCCTTCTCAATTCGAGCATTTCAGAACTTTCCTTTTGACATGTTATCTAATAGCACATAGTTAATGAGAAACTCTTTTCAATATCTGCCTTGGTATCATGAAATTCTGAGGCGATAGGCGTTTGATCATTCCAACGAGCAGGAGCCTTGTGCTTAATTGAGAATATTAATGACATTTCTGACAGCTTTTACTTCTGCTAGAAAGCGAGCGCATAGTAGAGTACCCA